GACATGTTCTAACCTCCCAAGCCCACACACTCGTGTTCCAGGACTTGACCCACTCCAGTTGACCACTCCTGTCGATTTGTGCCTCAATCAACCTGTCAGAGTTCACCACCCAAAGGTGCACTCAAATAAAAGGTGAAATAAAAGAGCTTTTAAGTAATTAGGCACCTCTTTCCAGACTCACTAACCCTAACATAGCAGGAATTTTAAAGGCAAATATCTTATGTCTGAGTCCATCTCCCAGCAGCAGGAGAATGTGGAGTTTGTAAATAACAACAGCAATACAAGGACTGCCTCTTTGCTTACCTGATCCCACTGAAATTAATGGTCTGTGGTTTAGGTCTGTGTCAGTGCCATAAAGCAGGATATGCCTGGGGACCAGGAAGTGTCTGCTTCATGTGTTAATGATGGAGTTATGGAGTGGCAGAAGCCATTTCATGGTCAAAGTTGCAGAAGGGTTTTTACTACGTGCTTGACTCTCCCTCTTTATATGGCAACAAAAAGCTGAAGAAATTCCCAGGTCAGACCTGGAGCTGAGGTTGAAAATTTTCTATAAAATCTGAAAGGGATCCAGCTAAAGATTTTCAAATGATGCCACCCCTGAAAAAACACAGCTCACAAGCACAGGCCGTGCCCCTCCGAACACTCAGGTGTAAACTCACACAGGGGTGAGAATCTGAGTATGAGCAAAAACTGTTCAGCAAAATTACTGCCCCCTCAAGCCTCTTCTCCACTGAAGCCCCAGCTCTCCTTCTCCAGCCCCACCATCCACATGCTCCAATCACCCAAGAAAAAATCATCATACTTGTGTGTTATATTTTAATGTTTATGCTGTGGCTTTTTGTATAATAGGAATAATCGCTGTTGCTTTGTAGTACACTTACAACAAATAGCTTTGGAGATTGCTCAAACACTTTAGCTCCACTTCAGCTCTTAATCAAACTCAGCAGCTGTTTATTGCAATTACACCATAAAGCAATAGACATTATCCCTTAACTAACTGTCTTATTAATATAGGTAGTTACACAGCTATTTCATAGTTAGTCTTAAATAACTGCTTTTAATTATTTTATTAACATAAATAACCATCTCAATAAATTTAAATTAAATGCATATGTGAGAAAACGCAATTTAAAGCATTGCACAAAATTGCATCTGTTTACTAATGTTCAAATTGATGTCATTGTGTAATTCAATTAAAGTGCAACTTTAATTTATTTCAATTTTTGATGGCCAGGAAACACCTAAGACACTAGAACTTCCTAAATATTGAAATGGGCACTGTCTGGTCCTCTTCTGTCGCTATATTTTCATTGCAATATTAGTTTCCTGCCAGGGGAATGAGATTCCTTTTTTACCCACAAAACTTACAATTTAATATCCCCATTTAATTTTGTTTTCTTCCTATTCCGAAAGCAACAGATGACTGGATTGCATTTTGCCTTCTAGTTCAGTTGTGCAACTCTGCTTTCAAGAGAGAAAAGGATTTTATTTTCCTGTGCAGCACTGGATCCTCCATGTCTTATGCCATTTGTTCTGGTAGGATCAAGCTTTTTGCCTTCAGCTAAGGAGAAGGGAGATGTTGCCTGACCTGGCCTGAAATCCCCTTTTTCTTCCTCGGGGGGGGGGTGCTGGTTTATTGTTCAGGGGGCTCATTCTACCCAAAAATCCTCCACTGCAGAGCAGGCAGCACTTGCACAGCAGCTTTTATCCCACAGTGCCAGCACGGAGCGTGTCCCTGGAAAGGGAGCACAGCCCACCCCTCATCTCACAGAAGGGTCTGCCTTATTCAGATGCTCTTTGGGGATGAAACAAAAATCTCCTATCCTTTCTCAGTTTGAGATTCCTCCCCTGAAGGATAAAGAGGAAAACTTGCTGAAGAGCAAGGAGAAAAGGAGAGGGACTCCCTTCACAACTTGCCACAGAGAGGAGAACAGAAGATCTTAGGAAGCACTGGGAGAAACTTAAAGTGCCAAATAAAAGCCAAGGATGGGGTGAAAATAAGGCTGAAAAATAAAAAGGTGCAAAAGGAGGCGAAGGGGCCTCACATGTTTTCCTGCCAGCCATTTTCTTCTGCCACTCAAAGCTTTTTGATTTAGTTCTATAGTTGGTGCAGGGACCTGCAAATGTGAACTGGTACCTCCCTGAGATCAAATCACAACAAACCCCCTCAAAAGTAACTGGGATGTATTGAGAAAAAGTGCTGAAGGCAGGAAGATGCAGAGCAAAATTTCTCAGAGGGTCTTGGTTGGGATCTCAGCAGCTTTTTAAGGCTCAAAACTGTGGATATCGAGCCATATTTGGCTCTTGGATATCAGTCAATGTCAAAGATGTCACGGGAGAACAATGAAAGAAAGATTTTGGTCCCTGAAATCCAAACTACTAAGGGTGAATTTTGCTAACTGGCAAAGTCCATCCCACCCTCTGGCTGCTCATGAGAGGACATGATCTCCCTAGGAGGAATCATTTAAGGAAGGCATTTCCACACAGGTACAACACTGTATGAGGAGGAAGGTGCCTATGGAAAAGCAGAGCTAGAGACAGCAAAGATGAAAACAGTGATTTATTTATTTTAATTCAGTGTACCAGGTAACATGAAGGGATAATTACAGGCTCTGTCAGAGAGGGGTTGCTGATGCTGTGATCTGGCAGACACACTAAGCTCCTCAGGAGACGAGCTCTTAAAAGTTTACAGACTCTGCTGGGCAAAGACAGAGGTGACTCAGTACAAAGGGTTTTTACAGAAAAATGTGGAAATCAAGAGTGAAGGAAGACATGCTTAAACTTCAGGTAACTGAGAGTGATCAGGGGTTGGATAATTGAAGTTCCAATGTATATTTGCCTACACTGTCGCTCACCTTTGAGCCCTACCTAGGCATCTTGACATTTATGTAGTCTGAAATCCTGAAAGCTCTGAGTTTAGACAACTAAATTGTTGCTTGTCAATTTAGTCTTGACTGAAAGACAGGTGTTTTGTTTCAGAGTAACACTCCTTTCAGACTCCTCTATTCCCAAGCTCAGATTACTGAGCTAAGGAACTATCAAAAATGAAATAACTTACAAGCAGGCGAACACATTTACATACCTTGAACAAAGGAATTCTTTGGGCAAAATCGGGATTTTTAATTATTGCTTGTTTTCTGTCATGTGGGACTCTCATCTCGAGCTCTCTGGTGGGAGCTGGAGGAGCTTGGAGGCTTTGAAAGTTCCTACAGTTTTGGTAGTGCTGCAGATCCTCTGCTGCTGCTCTGCAGTTTTACAAGCCTGTTCTGCTGAATGCAAAATGCTCTCTGAGCAAAGATCCAGCCGAGAATATGAACCAGAATTCTCCAAAGACGCAATTCTGTGAGCAGGCCTGTTACACAGCTACACACAGACCCCAGATTCTGCTGCCTTTGAGCTGCTGCTACCCCTGAGCAGCGGGTGAGTCCATTCCCACAAAGTGCCTCCCTGCAGAAAGCACTGACCCAACCCTGCCCACGTTCCTGCCCTTGGAGAATTCAGGTGCTCCTTTTTCCATGTCTCTGTGCCTGGGTGCTGGTGCTCACACACTTCAGACAGAGTTTGGGCCTTAATTCCTTTATTTATGCCATTAAGGGGGCTGAAGGCAATGGAACACAGGCTTAATCACACTGACCTGCCAATAACCTCGGCTCTGACCTGGAGGGATCCCATGTTTTGGCATAGGTTAAGGTCTTATTTAATTTAGAACCTTAAGCTGGATTTGAACTGTAGCCCCAGAAGTAAAAAGCCAGCCTTTTTATCTGGGAAGCCACATGGCTCTGGCTTCCTGACTGGTACTTGTGACATCCCAGTATTGGCAAACCAGGGACATATTAGCTGTGTGCTCTATTTTCTGCCCTTAATTATGGCCAGCTAGTCTGAGTTTTCTTTCCTTCTTTTTTTTTTTTTTAAGGATTTGAGTGACAAAGTGACTATGCATATCATTCCACATTTGAACTGTAAGACTTCAGTATTTCTACCTCTAGTGTGTAATTGGATCAGCTGCCAGTTACAGAAAGGAGCTGGGTGAGTATTAAGTGTGTGGAAAATGAAGAAGAGTCCAAGTGTGAAGGGGAGGAATAATTTGACAAAGCCTGCAGTGAGCTGTACGTGGTTTTCTCGTTCCAAAATGGAGTAGGTTTTGAAGCACATGAGGAAAAACTGGCTTTGATTTATTAGCTTTGGTTCACAGAATGCTGGCCACAATCTTGGAGAGTCTCAAGACACGGGGAAAGCCACAGGCCCTGCCCCGAGGAGCTCACAATGCCGACATTATCATAACGAGGATGGACGGGTGCCAAGCTGAAAAACACTCTGCTTTCATCTGACTCCTAAAGCTGTGCCTTCAACAACCTTGTCAGGCAGTGCACAAAGCTCCTGCCACGGGCTTGGTACCACAGCAGGACTGGGGTCTCATGTTATCGTGATGTGGTGGTTCTCAAACCATCACACCCAGTGCTCTTCTGCAGGTCCCCACTGTAGCACCTCCTTACCTGACCTGGAGCTTCTCATTACATCACAAAGCTAATGTAAGCGTGAAACAGTTTAAAATCTACGACAAAAATCCACAGTAAAACCTCAGCCCTTTCAAAAGGTGAGAAATAGAGGGGGTCTGTGTCCAGTCAGAGAGTGAGAGTGTTGGCCTCAGGACAAGAAAGTTGAGTTTCACCATTAAGCACATGAAGTTATGGCAGGATCATACAGCCAGAAAGACAGTTCTTTATCCAGTAAATGTTCAACTGTTTATCCCATTATAAAGTGCAAGCAAATCCCCTCAGATATGAACTGGCAGTCTGCATTGGTGGGACAGGAGAGCTGCTTTCTGAGTGGGTAACCAGAACTTCCTTCACTTTGCATCTCAAAGCAACTTAGGACAACAGTCTGATCATGAGGTGCCGCCCAGTTTAGGGCATTAGGAGAGAGGACTGCAGCCTAAAATCAAAGAAAAGGTCACAACATCCAGGGCAGCTTATGAAAGAAGCAGAAGAAATGCCAATTACCTGGGAATTCGCAGTTATCCCTCAGCCGTAGAAATCCTCCATAAAATCCACCATGCTGATCTGTAAAGAGAAAGCAAGAAACTTTTATTAGTGGCACAAACAAACTCAGAGAATTACAAATACTCCAAGTGACTGACTGCCTGGTAGCAGCCAGGATGTGGACAGTACTGCCAAGAAGGTGGAGAGAGCAAAGAGCAACTGAGATTTGCTACTTCCCAACTCTAGGTTGCTCTAGGCTACACTTGGTGGCTTGCTGACCATAGGACCAAACTGATATTTTGGGATTTGGAAATGCTTCTGCTATGCCTTCAATAGCAGCCACTAATTGAGAGGAGCAGTGTCCTAAAGGGCCCCTGGGTTACTGCCACAGAGCCACATCCTCTCTGGCTGGTATAAAAGCCCTGCAGACAAGTCTATCAGGCAAAAGCACAACAAAAAGCATCTCAAAATCATTTCTCTCTGGCTCTCCAAGGAGGTTAGGGCATTAAGACAGAATGCCCTACCTCAAAGGAAGTCAAGATTGGATCAGAACATCTCAGAGAGATAGAGAAGGAGAGATGGCAAGAGGCAGCAGTGTAAAGGTTTTATCAGCATGACTTGGGGATGACCACATTACTCATAGGTCACTGTGCTTTCCAGCTGACTAGCAACAGATGAAATAAGGAAAACAACAGCCTCTGGATTTCCAGGTAGCAGCTGCAGCCAAGTCTGCCTTTTCAGATGCCCTTTTAGTGTGGAATATGCACGGTGCTGCTCAGAAACCTGACTTCCCATGCAGAAGGGAACCCACCGTGAGATCCCACTGTCACCAGGCAAGTCCAGGAGAGCATCAAGACCATATTTGTGTTGTTAGAGGGAGGAAAACTTCAAATGCAAGGCACTTGGTTCTCCCTACCATTGGCATACGTCCAGTATTTCCTAATATTGACTAGAAGTACTTCACAGATCTTTGTGGATCTCATCTCCAGCAGAAAGGCACCAGGAGTGGGTTATCCTGCTGTGAATCCTCAACCTTTATGGCAGCAAACAGGTACAGCTGCTCATGTCCCATCACAGCAGCCACAATACTGAGATTTTGTTACGTAACAAAGACTAAAATATCATTTATTTATACTGAAGGGGTGCCCTTCTGCCAGGCACCATACAAAGGCTTTATCAAGGACTGCTCGTGTTTTTTGGAAGGTGCCATTTGATCAGATACACACACACAGATCCCAACAGCTGAGTGGAAAATAATACTGCCATTCCTGACAGTTCTCAAATTAGCAAGAGCTTATAATGAAGCTTTTGTAAGGCATCCCTTTCAAGGATTTGCTGGATACCTCCCTTGCTGGGGGTGGGTGCACACGGGGTAACTGCCCTCCTGCTCTGTGCTTAATTCTCTCACCTCGTGCTACGTTGCTTGTTTCCTGCACTCAGAGATCTCCTACTTGTGTTTGAACTCTCTGAATACTACACACAAGGAGATAGAGGCCTTGGTAACCTCCTACTACAGCAGTTCTTTTCCTGCAGTCAGGAAATTATCTCCCTTTTTTTTTGTTTTCTTTTCTTTTTTTTTTTTTTTTTTTTTTTTCCCATGCCCAGGACTTCTGCCCTTCCCCCTTCCACTGCCTGGGCTCTGATGGCAGTGATTGGTGACAGCAGCAAAAAACCCCAAGCCACACCACTCACAGACAACAATGTCTCATTTTGCATCAGGTTTTATGTCAATATTTTGATAATTTCAGCAATTCCACATTCATGTTGGTACTGAGATATCTAGGAAACAAAGTATCCTTCAAATAATTCAGTAAGTGTCATGATAGGCCTGTGTGAATGCTTCTAATTCCCTCCACAAAGAACTCAAATCACATAAAACTCTGAGACCTGATTTTCAGCTGATATAAATCCACAAAGATGCTGTAATTACTGGTAGGACAGTTTACACTCTGAAATATCTTGGCCCCTCTCTCCTTCATGCAAGCAGAGGGAACAGGTACCAGGAGGGGAAGGTTTCATGTCTCTGCCTCCCAGATGTGAGTTTGCACAGGGAGCTGGAGGCTGTAGGTGCCTTCTGCCCTGGCAGGTTTTCTTTTTCCTTCACTCAGGAAATTGTCTTTCTCTATTTTTTTTTTTAATGCAATTAACAAGAGAATTCCCCCTTCTGTTGTTTCTGAGGGCTGTGGAGGGGATCAGAGAGGAAAAGTAAGTGGCACCTCTAATATATTTTCCCATGGAAAGAAGATGGGAAGAAGATAAGTATGAGACAGACAAACAAAACATAAAACTGGTTTAGGAAAGAAGGGGGAAAATGCCTGGAAAATGTAGTAATAAAAGAACCTCACCAGTAGCAACATTTCGAGGAGAAAAGGGACTGATGGATAGCTGTGCTGGCACGAGTGAGGAAGGGTAAACCAAACCTTTTCAAAGCACAAGAAAAGAAAACCAAATGGCATTTAAAAAAACTATTGAGAAAAAAATAAAAAAGCCAGAGGACAAATAAAACAGAGAGAGGGAGGACTTCTATGAGCACAAAAGCAGAGGTCAGTACCCCGTGGTCATTTCCTAAGAAAGGAGGAAGCAGAAGTGAAGGAAAATCCCTAAATATAAAAGACTACTTATAAACAAAGGACACACTGACTGCTACTCCATGATTTTTTGAAGGTTTGCTATCAGCATATTTCCAGTGATAAATGCCTTCACGTGATGCCAGCTTTCTGCAGGCACAACTGCAGCAAATCACTTCTGCCAGGCAGAACATGAAGAAACGAGGAATCATCTCCTCCCCTCCACGTGGCACTGCTCTGGTCCGTGCACATCCTCTTCACACCAGCCCTCAGGAGAGGAGCACATCGGGGCAGCAGGGCAGGAGGATGTCCCACAGAACACAGGATGAGAACACAAATCTAGGTTGGGAGCCTGGAGCTTATTTCAAACAATGATTACACAGGTCCATCTCTGACCAATGCTCCTCATTGCACATCCTGCTCCAGTGACTCTTTTGTCACTTGGAAACCAGTTTGTCTAGGCACAAAAAAAATACTTCTAGATCATTCTTGCCATGACCATAAAAGCAGAAAATTGCCAGGTGCCTCCTCTGAATGGCAATGACATCCACAAAAAGACTGGGCTGGTAAGAACACGTCCAGGAGCTCTTTGGTCCACTGCCATTCATTAAAGCCCCTGAGAGCTCAAGTTACTGTCTCAAAGCCCCTGCCAGGTGCCCTGGAGCACAGCTCCAAGCTCACCTTCCCATGGAGAGAGGAGCCCCTGAGCCACCCTACTGACCTGAAGCTACAGCAGGATGTGCAGGCCCAATGCTGGGCAGGGATGGAGCTCCATGGAAGAAGGGAAGGCCTAGTTTTAAAAGTCATGGGTATTCAGAAGCTTGATGGGGTCAAAAGTTGTGCCCACTGACATGTTTTCAAGCAGAGAAATACTTGCAACTAAACCCTCAGGCATTAAACTGCATATGGGCAAACGTTGTTCTCCCTTCCACCCCATCAGTGGAGTCCCACAATTAACATTAATCATTTCAAGGGTAATATTCTGCCTATTGACCAGAGCCCCTTTCTGGAAGGGAGAGATTCACACTGACACTGAAAGGTGAATTTGCAATGTCTGCATGTACATTCCCTTGCAACAAAAGAGTCACATAAAGTCCTCTATTTATCAGGAAGACCCAGCTAGCTCCTGTGGTATCACACCAACATAAGTGAGATGAGAGCCCGGTCCCAAATCCTCAATCCCACAAACTCCCACATCGTGCTGCCACAAAGAGGAAGCTGCTCCCAAGGCTGAGATCATGCCCAGATCCTGCAGTCTTTACTCAGACCTCAGCTGTAATGGAAGTACTGCCTTCCCTCACCACAGCATCTTCACTACGAGTGCTCCTGTACACAGCTTTTTTTGCCAAAATAAATACTGCTGGGTTATGGGGTTTTGGGGTGTTTTTTTGTTTTGGTTTGTTTTTTTTTTTTTTTATTTGCGTGGTTTTGGTTGGAGTGGGAAAAAAGATGCAGATTAATTTTTTAAACAGAAAAAATAAATCCACTTTTTTTTTTTTTCTGGAACAGCCAGCTTAGAAACACAGAACAGCCTTTTTTTGTCCCCCCAAGCCCTTGCTCTGTACACCACCCCAGTGCCACCCTTGCTTTAAGATTAACCGTCGATCTGTGCCGTCCTTAAGGCCAGACATTCTTTGGATTTGGTTATTACATCAAGGTGCATTTGTGCTCCTAAATGGGCAGTTGTACTGGAAATGGAGCACAAAGGAGCAGAATTCAGGCTGTTCCAGCGTGGGTCCAAAGCCCGGCGTGTCTGCGGTGCTGTGAGTCTTTTGTTTCAGATGCAGAGAGATAAACTACAGCCTTTTTTTCCACGGCGGTTATAATGCAGAATATGAAAAACTCTTGGGATGGTTTAAGCTGCAGGGTATTCTCCCAGAGTTCTGTCCAAAAATAATCTAGTAAAAATGTGGACAGAGAACCATCGACCTCTGCTTTCCCCCGAACATATGCAGCTCTGATCAGTCTGGTATTTCAAGAAAAACAAGGTCCTGAACCCTAATCCTCAGACACATAACAAAGCGCACTTCACAGCTGTGATGCACAGCTACTATCAGCTCCGAGGCCTGAGTGGGTCCCAAGACAATGCCTCCTTTATCACCCAGAGGACAAATATCTAGACAGCAATATTTTCTGCTTGAATGCTTCAAGCATCTCTCGCAACTCCTGACTGAAAGAGAAAACTGAGCTGAGAGTGTTTGCTGAGTGATTATTTTAATTTACTACTTGATGTAAATCTAAATGAACTGACATCCAGCTTGAGATGGACAGAAAACAATCATTGTGAAAAAAGAAAGAAGGCTAATATTACAATATCATTTGAGTAGCACAGGTTTAGGCAACTTTAGCAGTGGCAATGTAATAGATAGTGAGGCAGGGTTTGCATTTCCTTTTCTTCACTCAATTACCATAATAAGTTCTGTAATTTTAGGGCTGTTTATTTATCAGGCGACGATAACAAAGACGCTCAGAACACGGTGTCTGAATGCAATAGTACAAAGCACCCCAGTGTCAGCCC